GAGACAACGTGTGGATCGCGCTTCTTACCTGGATAGGTGTCGGATTGTCGTGGCTTTGATCCAGAAAGAGCCCATGAGCAATTGAAGCAGGTGCATAACGAACTGGCTCTTGGATCATCGCGCCAACCACATCTCCACCATATCTAAAAGCCAAAAAATATTGGGAGAATTCATCGTCTCTCACATAAAATCCTATGTTATTAGTCAATATCTACTTGTACACAAGCCTTCCTTGTTCGTGGCTGTCGTGAGCTGCTTGAGCTTCTGGAATTAACGGTGTTATTTGCTGGAAAAAAAAGGCCATAAAAAATGTCTATTTTGAAAATCTACCTCTAATAAGGGATGAGATGCCCAATCTGTTGACAAACATATTATCTTTATCCTCACTTCCAGTGAAAAGTTCTGCGAACACATAGAGGTCAGGACGGATCTCTCGAGCTGCCAACAGCAGATACTGCAAAAAGCTCTAATTCCCGAGGTGATTTTGATTTGATGTCTGTTCCTTGCTCGAATATACAGCACAAGTTTCGAGCGGTGCATCAGGACAATGAGTAATTTCTGCAGCAATAGATCAATTCGGACAAATTGTGAAAACAGAGTCTTTCCAAATTATGAGATAACGTCACATAGCAACTAATTTTCAGAACAATTTGCCACAGATATAGAAGTTGTCAGAAACTTGATTTGTTGATAGGCCATAATCCCAAAACAACCAAATTTTTTTTTATAAAGGTAGTGCAAATTTGCTTTGGAGCATTCTATGTAAACGGCTGATTTTCTCGAGCTTAAATCAATTCATATCATATTTTACCGCTGCGCTAGCTTTGATCCCGATGGCAATAGCCATCAAAGTTAAAAATTATGATAAGAGCCTGGTACAAATTGGAAACGATAATGACACTTGGCTTTCTAGGGAATAATTGATAAGTTTTGATAATTTTTATAACAGTAAAACATAACAAAATTATTTGCAAAAATTGTTATAGATTTTCATTCAAATGTGCAGATAATGGAATTTATTGAGAAGCAATATAAAGATTACCTCTGCGACGTGAATGGGAGTGCTATGTGCATTGTCAATACGCAAACCATGAAAGATACGTGCGCATTCTTGTCTGAAAGCCTACCCTTCAAGCCACTCATTCTTTTACAAAACCCCTTTAACTAACGAATACTCCTTCATGTAATTCCACAAGAAAGGACAATCCTCAGGCTTTTCTCCATAATTCAACTTGACGGAGTCACCCCAGCAGACCAGTTCACGACGAAGATACACCTGATGTTCGACGTAAAGATGTAAATATTCAAAACAAGCTCATTTCAAACCTGAGAGTCCGGAAGGGCAAAATTCTTCAGCGGGTCATAGCACATTACCCATCCGTTGAAAGCAAGAAGGTATTTAGATTTCTCTGGGTCATAAGCCAAATGCTCTTCTTCTTCCCACGAGGTTGCATTTTCCAAGTGCAAGAAGTAACTGAAGGAAAATGATTTTTTGTTTGCAGAACGTGGCATAGAACAAACTTCCGTGATTA